TTTGATAGTTCCAGACTGCAAGCGGGTTATACGCCGGGGTGCCTTCAGAATCGACTCGAGATTACCCCGTGCCGATGTCCCTTTGCTGGTCATGTTAGTGGTGACCCTCGGAAATTCTCCGTCTTCAACCACCATTCTTCTTCGTCGGAAACGCCTAGGCCTTAGTTTTGGCGTTTCGGTACTGAGCCTTTCGAAGACCGAAATTCTCTTGGGGACTGTATTGGTGCAGTTGCACTCCGAAAATACTGCCCAAATGAGTTTGGAACATGGGCATTGAGTTTTTAGTTCTCGAGGACTCCTTTTCCTGGTTTTACTCGTACCCCCAACACGATAGTACAACTCGTCTGTTTGAAGGTCGGAGTAACCTATCGTGTGTTGGCATGACTTCTCAGGTATAACGCTATCGTCATCAGACGATAATGTTTCCTTCTGAGGGTGAACTGTCTTCTTTGAGCTTTCAAAAGTCACGCGCCTCGAAATATGCCTTTTGTAGGTGTGAGTTCTCAGTGGGCTCCTGGACTTCAATGCGCATATTGGTGCACTTAGCTGCCCTGAACTCCTTATCATATTGAAGGTGGCGGCGACCCCCAGCATGTTGAGTGGTTCGGGGCTTCTTCATCAGGCCCAAATGTTCTTGAACTAGAGCTTTGCACTGTCCATCGGGAAGTGGACCGAGGCGCTCCAAAACTGATTTCTTTCTTCGGGATGATTCTGCGTGATCTCCCGGAGTAGCCATGGGAATTATCGGCGATTTAGAGTGGTTTGCCGGAGGTTGAACTTGCGTCGAAGGCCGCAATGATTGTTCCTTAGTCTGAATCGCCACCTCAGACTTCGGCCTCCATACTTGACGGGTTGGTGGCAGCTTTTTGGCCACTTCCTTCTGCAGTTTTCTGCGGGCTTCCTGGACTTGAGCCCGTGCTTGCGCTGATAGTGCGCGGTGCTTACGAATGCGCTCATCAAGTGTTGAACGGTTCCGTTTGACACAGATCCATTCATTCGTTGGCGGCTTGGAGGAGCTGCCATTCATCGGTTGTCGAGACTGTTTGCCTCTCCTGCTCTTCATATCCGCGTGATAGCGGATTCCATCAGTGGACTCCATCGCCTTTGCGAGTTGCCGCGCCAGGCGTTGACGTCGCCTCTGGCGGGCTCTCTTTGAAAGAGTCACTACTCCTTCAACGGCGGAGGCGTTGGCGGGAACAGATTTGACCTGGTTGGAGGTCGGTGGAGCTTCACCCGATGCGACTTTTGCATCAGTTGGGGCGAGATCTTCGTTGGCATTTCGCACTTCTTCATACCAACGGACTTTTCTCCTGGAGGAGAACTTCTTGGACTTGCGGGGGGAGGTGGATCCGGACGAGGATGATAGATACTCCTCGAACTTTTGTTGGTCGAATTCGTACTCGACCTCCTCCTCGACCGGGATCGAGATCCGCGGCTGCGACGCAATGATCTCGGCAGCGAGATCGGTGGCTCCCACTGTAGTCGCCAGATTGTTCGCGGTGAAAGTTGCTTTCATTGATGCCATTGCACTCTCAAGTAATAGTTTTTCGATTACAAAAGATCCAGTCTTTTTATAAGATTTGGTTACAACAAAATCAAAGAAAAAAAATTACAACTTTCCTTATTTGTCGAACGAATCACGAGATCCTGTTTTGTGGTCTCTCGCTTTTGTGGGTTCTTCGCCTGCGCCGGGGTTAATCCGTGGACCACCGCGCGATCTAGATCCGGTCGGATCTATATGATATGACGAGTGCTATTTCACAAAGGAAATAACAGCCGGGGGTACTATTTCGCCAAGGAAATAATAGCCTTTAGTAATCGAAATCGACCAAGCGAAATCGATAATCTTCTCGGGATCAAAAACCAAGTTTTGATCCGGAGGATAGTCGTGTAGATCTCAGATCTGATCTCTCTCTCGAACTCCTGCCTTATCTGGCGTGGACGATCGCCAAGAACCAGATCTGAAAAGCCAAGTCTTCAAAGCTCCAAAACTTCAAAGTTCAGTTCTCAATCCAGCAGAGTTTCGGCTCCAAAAGTTCCAACCTTTGAAAAATGAGCTATCCCCCTCTATTTATAGGCTTCTGGCCATCGAGCCACCTAGGTGGCTCGGCCACCGAGCTCTTCCCGGGGTGTGCCGTGTCGTCCGTTTCTGCGGTTTCACGGTTTATCCAAGCTTCGTTGTTGATCCGAACTCTGATTTGGTAGTCCGTATCCTGATTTGGCAATAAATCCGCTTTGGTGTTCTAGTTCGAATCCGTTCTACGGTTGGATGACTCGTTGGCTCACCGAACCGTTAGCTTGATTCCGCACGCGAGTGAATGTATTCCGTTGTTCGCGTGCGGTTCGTTAACCTCGTCGCCTCGTTAATCCGCTTCGTCGCGTGTCACTTGGCTTCGGTGTTGTGGTCCAACGATCGTGTTTGGATATGTCGCCCGATGGTTCGATGGTTCGTTGGTTTGTTGAATCACCGTGCCGAGCTGTGTTAAGGGACCTATAAGCAGTTTTATACGCCTACACCCTCTGATTAAGAGAATGGCGTTTATCATCTTCTCTTTGCCTTGAGTGGTATTTGGATGTCTGTAAGCATTTTTTGACGCCTACACAGTATGCTTAAACTTCATGGGGGTTTAGTGTAGTTTACCATAACTTAAATTTTTTTCATTATAATGTTGCATAGTACTGACAATTTCTTATTGTCTACTCTACAGAATAATGCTAATGATTTTTTTCACAAATGTGTTGTTTATGCACGCACCGCGTGCACTAGACATACTAGTAAAATATAGAGGGTTCTTCACCCTTTGACCCGGTCAAAGGGGGCAACACATTCCTGAAAATTATTAGGGGCTTAGAAAAAATTTCCCCTAATTAATTAATAATAAAATCACAACACATGACAGTTAGCTATAAATCCCCTTATCAAAAGAACTTGGGAAGCTTAATTCCAATATTCTAACAATGTTTTCAAATATATGATTAACAGATTTAAAAATTCACATTCCAAACTTACTCTCTTGATTCATATACATCATG